CTTGCAGGTGGTGTGGAGGTTGAGGTGCTGGACTCTCACATTGTTGACCAAGGTTCAAGTCCTGGACCTTGTAGCTTTCTCACTTTTCCTCTCTCTTTTTCTGATGAAATTGAAAAATGATAATAAATAATTATTTAAAACATTTTTAAAAAACTTTTTTCTTTCTGACACTTAGCTTAAAACATAAATACATCATGCATCTGTATAAAAAATATTTTGTTTCTTTAAAAAAACAGTGTTCTTTGATCAAATTGTACACTGTGTAATGCCAGAAACACTGAGGGTCATCTGGCAGGTTACTTGGCATATATCCAGACAAGACTATATCTCATTCTTACAGACTTATTTTCTGCCACTCTGTGAGGCTTTTTTTTTTTATTAGTTTGTTTGTTTGTGTTTTTAGTCAGAGGTTGCAAGCACTTGTGAGAGAGAGCGAGTGAGAGAGAAAGGGAGAGGGAGAAAGCACCTGCCAATGGGGCATGGTCATGCCACAATCCCTTCTCCTCTGTTTCTCTGTACTACCAGGAATTTTAGGGGCATGCACACACGCACACACACTCCCACCGGGCATACTTTCTAAGCCACCAGGCTGGAATTTGAACTGTAGTTGGCCAACTAGCTTCCTTAATAACTTGGCTCTGGCTGGCCGTGTGAAGTCCTTCTGAAGGGATCTAAAAGCATATTATTAGGTAATGTTGCTATTTTCTATCTTGATAGCATTGATTCCTTTCTGCTTTCTTCAAATGTGCATTTTCAAACAGTATCATAACTGGATTAGTGGATTATAAAAATCAGTTTTGTGAGATGCAAGCAGCATTAAAAGAGATAAAACAGGATAGAAAATATCAGATTATTACTCATGTAGAAAAGGGAAATATGGCTTTGTGAAACCTTTGTGTTCCCAGTATGTATATACATTTGGTACATACACTTAAATTGTGGCACATATAGAAATTATTACTGTTGAACCTGTTTAAAATTTGTAAGGCAGTGTTTTAGGTAAATACGCCTTTGATAGACAGGTAGTTTCTGTGAATGATTACTGTCAGCTTGACTTACTGTTGACTTATTTATACAGTGGTTGTGTTCTCTGAAAGGCTCATTTTTTGAATAGCTTATATGTTACACTTCCTTATTGTGATTGTTCAAGCGTTCAGGTAGGTAGGAATTCCATGGCTTGCTAGTGCAATTATGCACACTACACTGTACTGAGGAAAGTGTGCTTATGCATTTACAGAGATTTTCTCAAGAGAGGAAATGGTAGGTGTGTGTGTGGGGTTACTTTATAATTAACCTTCAGTTTTAAAACTGGAACTTGCAGGTGGTGTGGAGGTTGAGGTGCTGGACTCTCACATTGTTGACCAAGGTTCAAGTCCTGGACCTTGTAGCTTTCTCACTTTTCCTCTCTCTTTTTCTGATGAAATTGAAAAATGATAATAAATAATTATTTAAAACATTTTTAAAAAACTTTTTTCTTTCTGACACTTAGCTTAAAACATAAATACATCATGCATCTGTATAAAAAATATTTTGTTTCTTTAAAAAAACAGTGTTCTTTGATCAAATTGTACACTGTGTAATGCCAGAAACACTGAGGGTCATCTGGCAGGTTACTTGGCATATATCCAGACAAGACTATATCTCATTCTTACAGACTTATTTTCTGCCACTCTGTGAGGCTTTTTTTTTTTATTAGTTTGTTTGTTTGTGTTTTTAGTCAGAGGTTGCAAGCACTTGTGAGAGAGAGCGAGTGAGAGAGAAAGGGAGAGGGAGAAAGCACCTGCCAATGGGGCATGGTCATGCCACAATCCCTTCTCCTCTGTTTCTCTGTACTACCAGGAATTTTAGGGGCATGCACACACGCACACACACTCCCACCGGGCATACTTTCTAAGCCACCAGGCTGGAATTTGAACTGTAGTTGGCCAACTAGCTTCCTTAATAACTTGGCTCTGGCTGGCCGTGTGAAGTCCTTCTGAAGGGATCTAAAAGCATATTATTAGGTAATGTTGCTATTTTCTATCTTGATAGCATTGATTCCTTTCTGCTTTCTTCAAATGTGCATTTTCAAACAGTATCATAACTGGATTAGTGGATTATAAAAATCAGTTTTGTGAGATGCAAGCAGCATTAAAAGAGATAAAACAGGATAGAAAATATCAGATTATTACTCATGTAGAAAAGGGAAATATGGCTTTGTGAAACCTTTGTGTTCCCAGTATGTATATACATTTGGTACATACACTTAAATTGTGGCACATATAGAAATTATTACTGTTGAACCTGTTTAAAATTTGTAAGGCAGTGTTTTAGGTAAATACGCCTTTGATAGACAGGTAGTTTCTGTGAATGATTACTGTCAGCTTGACTTACTGTTGACTTATTTATACAGTGGTTGTGTTCTCTGAAAGGCTCATTTTTTGAATAGCTTATATGTTACACTTCCTTATTGTGATTGTTCAAGCGTTCAGGTAGGTAGGAATTCCATGGCTTGCTAGTGCAATTATGCACACTACACTGTACTGAGGAAAGTGTGCTTATGCATTTACAGAGATTTTCTCAAGAGAGGAAATGGTAGGTGTGTGTGTGGGGTTACTTTATAATTAACCTTCAGTTAATCAGAAATTCAAATATAACCAGAAAACTACACCTTTTTTGGGGGGGAGGGGAGAGATTTTTGCTATAGGGTTGCACTCACTGAAGAGAGAGAAAGAGTAAGAAATCATCTTCCAGGGGAATGATTATGCCACAATCTCTTCTTCTCCATTCTCCTCTTGGGATTTTGGGCACGTATGCACATGTGCCCAGAGTGTTTCAAGTTTCCAGGTTCAGGACTTGGCTGTGTAGGAGTCCAGTACCTTAACCACTATGCTATCTGCTGGCCCCCAAATCTCCATTTCTTAAATATTCCATGAGCACTTGCTATGTGCCAAGCATTGAACTCTTTTATTTTGATATAGTACAAAAAGGGCCATTTCCTAATTGATAGACATGTTTCTGTTAATCTGATTTAATAAATGATTCCACTCTGAATTTGCTTATCAAGAAAGGTCAGATATCAGGACACAAAGCTTTGGAATTTTTATATGTTTTAAGCATTAAAATCCAAGAGAGACAGCAATAATAGTTTTTAATTTTATCCTATGAAACCATGAAGTATTTGTCCTTTTCACAGGAATGTTATGTAACTGTCATGCAGAGTTTCAGTAGGGACAGGTCACTTTATGTTGCTCGTAACAAAATATTCAACTCAGACTGATCTAATAATGGGTATTTGTTGAGATGTAGCCAAAAAGGGTGGAGGAAGCTATGGTGAAGTTGGGTCTAGCAGCTGCAAAAATACTGCCATGGGCTGAATTCTCTCTGCCTCTTCCTGGTGCTGACTTCCTCCTAAAATTGACACATTCCAGATCTCACATCCTCATACCTTCTCAGTCAGGATAGGAGAGAGGGATCTCTTCCTGTAGCATTTGGAAAGTAGTGCTGTATGTCACCAGTCCCCTTCCCCATAACCCCAGTTCATGTCTCATCAGGTTTCTTTGGTCCAGACTGGTTGGAAGATCATAGAGCCAGAGGAGATGAGGTAGTTTGATGCCACAGACCAGATAGGAGCCACTCTAGAGGCAAGGGTAGGTTTAATTTTACCCAATCCCATATGGCTGAGAATGAGGGAAAGTGCCTCCCCCAAAGGAAGTTGGGGTACTTTGAAGAAGGAAAAAGGAAGACTGTAGCTAAAAAATAAATACGTGAATGTTTAATTAGACCCATAATATAAAGCAACACTTTAACACTTTGAGAGTTTTACTCTTACTGAGATTAGATCCAACAGTCATTTTTCTTAGTAGTCTGTCTGTCTTTCTTCCATATTTCTTTATCTATCTAACTAGATCTATCTATATCTATCTATCATCTATCTATGTACCTACCTACCTACCTACCTATCTATTTATATTTGACCAGAGAGGGACAGAGCAAGAGTAAGAGTGAGAGAGAGAAAGTGAGAAGGTCCAGGACTCGAACCATGGTCTGCCATGTGGGAATCTAGTGCCCTCCACCACCACGCTATCTGCTGGTCCGTTCTCAGTAGTATTTTAACATGTTTATTTCAAGGAATTTTCATGAGTGAGCTGTGGGAGGATGGAGATGGCAACTTAAAGCTGTTTATTTTTCTCTAGAATTCTAGTATACTAGTGTAAAACAAAACTGGAACAAAACAATTAAAAAAAAAAAGAGTTCCATGGCTTTCTAGTGAATAACTTGGTTCACACCTGGCCCCCTCCACCCATTTAAAGCATCCTCCAAGGGGCATAAACCCCCCAGCTCCTCTTCCCCCCACATAAAGTATGTTGTGAGGGGCATGGGCCACCCAGCCCCCCCCTTCCGTCATATAAGGCATGTTCTGAGGGGCATGCCTTTTCATTCTAATCCAGAACCAGTGGCACTGAATATTTTAAAAATATTGAAATTGTTTATTTTATGCACATAAGCTCCCCTCTGTTCAGGCTGACAGTGCCTCATGGTAGAATTCTGATATCTTCCCTGTTCTGCATATGTCTCTGTGTCCTCCCACCTGAGGAAAAGACTTCTCGCTCTGATGAGTGATTCTTTTAGTGTCACTCACTTTTCTGTTTTGAGTGGTTCAGAATCCTTTCCTTTGAAAGGGATTCCAAATTGTCCATCTTCTTTGTGACCCAGATCTCTTCCTTCTCTGTATGACACTGGACACTACTCCATTTGCATTTTAGCAAATAGCTGCCGAGTTTAGGATCGTAGTCAGAATGGGGCAATCTCTGTCACCTGTAACGAGGACAGACTAAGCTGAGCCAGAGAAGGTTCATTAAATGTGCTCTACTGCAGACTAAATTGGGCGGAAACAAAAGACAGGTACAGTGGAGCAACAGAAAGAGAGTATACGTTCACATAAAGGAAAAAAATACAGCTCAGCAAGGAATCGTATTCATCAACAGAGAGAGCGAAGATAAGGGCTCCCAGTAGCTGACATGTTGCAACTCACCGAAGGGATATTTCTGGTTCTGTCTGCTGTTCTGTTCATTCTGGGAACTCTGGCAAATGGTTTTATTGGGTTAGTCAATGGCAGCAGCTGGTTCAAGAGCAAGAGAATCTCTTTGTCTGACTTCATCATCACCAGCCTGGCCCTTTCCAGGATCATTCAGCTGTCGATTATCTTCAGTGATAGTGCTTTATTAGTGTCCTGTTCTGATGCTCATGATTCAGGGACAGTAATGCAAGTTATTGATATTTTCTGGACATTTACAAACCATATGAGCATTTGGCTTACCACCTGTCTCAGTGTCCTCTACTGCCTGAAAATCGCCAGTTTCTCCTACGCCTCATTTCTCTGGCTTAAGTGGAGAGTTTTCAAGGTTATTGTCTGCATGCTGTTGGGCGCGCTCCTCTCATCTTGTGGCAGTTGCATATCTCTGACCAACGAATTTAAGATTTATTCCATCCTCAGTAGAATTGATGGCACAGAGAATACAACTGAATACTTCAGAAAGAAAAGTGAATATGATCTGGTCCATGTTCTTGGCACTCTGTGGAATCTCCCTCCCTTTCTTGTGTCCCTGGCCTCCAACATTCTGCTCATCCTCTCTCTGGGGAGGCACACACGGCAGATGAAGCAAAATGGTCTCAGCTCCAAAGATCCAAGCACTGAAGCCCACAAAAAGGCTATCAAAACTATCCTCTCCTCCCTTTTTCTCCTCTTACTTTATTTTCTTGCCTATTTAACTGCATCATCCAGTCATTTCATACCAGAAACTAGAACAGCTAGGATGACTGGTTTAATAATTGCGATGATTTATCCTTCTGGTCACTCATTTATTCTTGTTCTGGGGAACAACAGAATGAAGCAAATGTTTGTGGAGATGCTCCGGTGTAAATTTGGTCATCTGAAACCTGAATCCAAGAGACTGTCCCCTATAGGGTAGCAGAGGGCATAGGATACAGCCCGGGGAGTCCTTCAGCCTGGCTCAAGACTACCAGGCTCTTCCTAACCCTTCCATGCTACTGGTTGTATCGTTTAGGAGAGAGACACTGACTGCTTTGTCTCAGGTCCCACCTGGACACTCATTCCCTCATGAAAGCTGCTCATCTCATGGCCTCTCTATGTGTACTTATTTTGGTAGGGTTTACAAATCTTTGGAGAATAAGGTAGTAGGGATGCTTTCACTGTATAAACCTGTAAGGGAGCTGTATTTTAATAATCATCATCTCAGCATAATGCATCTGAATGTTAGTTTCATCTTAAATTTGATACAAGCTGATAAATGGATATAACTAAAACAGTAAAGTAGATTTGAAGGAGAGAGCACATGTGATCTTGTAGATGTGAGCTTTAACTTAGTTCTCTCAGTTTTCCAAAGTTTTTGATCTCAGGCGAGTTACTTTAATGACCTGTCTGGTACTCTCTTCCCTCATCTTAAATTATGGACTACACTTAACAAACGTAAGTATGTAAAGTTATTCATTGAAAATGATGTATATGGTAATATCTTTTATTTTATTGTCATGTACATACTTTGAGAAATCATACTGTGTACATAGATATGTACAAAAATTAAATTTGAATAAGAAATCATAAAATAAAAAAATGAACAAAATGATTAAAAAAATTGTGGACTTTAACATCAACTTTACAAGATCAGAGATTTGTGAGACAATGCATGACTACATTTCAGTGCAGTGTGTAGTGTGAAGTGCTCAGTAAATGAAGCCTATTATTATAACTAGCAAAACTAGCAATAAGAAACAGTAATTCCCATAAGGTATTAGTTTCTACAAACCCATAGTGTGATGATGAAAGCAGTGGAGTAAAAATTAAACTCCTGGAGTCTAGGTTCCAATCAAATTTTGCATTTCATTCTTTCTTTTTCCTTCCTTCCTTTCTTTCTTCCTTTCTTTCTCTCTTTGGAGAGGTTTTTGCTATAGGGTGCATGTGCTCGCCAGGAAGACAGACAGACAGAGAGAGAGAGAGAGAGAGAGAGAGAGAAATCACCCCCCAGGGGGGATGACCACGTTGCAACCCCTTCTCCTCCATTCTCCTCTTAGGATCTTGGGCATGCACGCACATGCGCCTGGCGTGAGTTTAAGCCACTGGGTCCAGGACTCAAACCACGGTCGACTACATGGGAGTCCAATGACATAGCCATTACGTTAACTGCTGGTCTCCATTTCATTATTATTTTGATAAGATGAATTTTCAAGTAACTTTACTTTTTTAGATCAGGTAAAAGACCAAGCAGGTTTTTTTTTTTTTTTTAAACTAAGATGCATATCTTTTTAAAAATTATAGTTTTGTCAAATATAGGTAGTTTTTATAAGTTTATTCAATTGCATTTAAATAGAAGCACATAGATATTAATTTCCCATTATTGAACAATTTTTACAAGTCAATGAGAATATTATTGTTTAATATCACAAAGAATTCTCAAACTCGTGCCTTATTGTTAAGACACATGGCATTTCTGCATATGGATTTCTAGCTTTAATACAACTCTCAGGTACAGAGTGTTGGAACTGAGAATGTAGACCCTGAAGCCGGGCAGCCTTGTTTCCAGTCCTGACCCAGGTCCTCATGAACTGAGCAAACTTTGGGGAAGTTTCTTAACCTCTCTCTATTTAATTTTCCTTCTCTGTAAAATAGAAATAGTAATAACATATATATATTTATTTTGTATAGGGTTGTTGGAAGGAATGAGTGAGTGCTTAGAGTCCTACATGGAGCAAACACTTAATAAGTATTACTATTATTATTGCTATTTTGTGAAAGAGGGTATGTTTGGGCATAGCATGAAGAATCATTACTTGACATTTAGTCTTATATAACCAGAAATTAATTTTAGGGTTGTTTTGTTATTTATATACTCATTTCTAAAATTATGGAAATGAAATGTCTTCTGGTCTGAGTAGTTTGCTTTTAAACTGATACTTGCCTCTTTGAAGTGATTAGGAGAATTTCTAATTCTGAAAAAACCTAAGTTTTCTTTTAGAAACAGTATCTGCTGATGTTGCTTCATGGGCTGGTAGTTAAGGCAGCCAGATTCCACATGGCTAAATGCTTACGTCAAATCCCAGACCTGAAACTTGAGAAACGTGCCAGGCACATTTGTGTGCATGCCCAAAACCCTGAAAAGAGGGAGAAGTGGAAGAGAAGGGAATGCAGTGTAATCATTCCACATGGGAGGTGCTTTTTTGTCTCCTGTGACCTTCCTTGTTTGTTTCTGTCTGGTGGCAAGCACATACTCCCAAAACGGAAAGTATCTACTGAAATTCGAAAGATGATTTAGATTCACCCTTAATTTACTAAAATATAAGAATTTTTAAATTAGTCTTTTCTCCACCTAATAGTTAATAATAATAATAATAATAATAATCTGTGCTTCTCTTCAGTGCAGAAAATTTAACTGTGGAAATCCATGCTTGATTGGCATCTGCTTTGTCCACACTGACCCCTTGCTTCTGAACTCAACCTTACTCACTCTTCAACACTTGTCCTAGCTCTGACCTTATAGCCCTTACCTGAACTCCCAATTCTGCCTTTGGCTTAGCTGTTGGTGTTTTCCTTACTTTTAATTCAGTATAACATCCCACTAGAGGTTTTGGCTTAGTTGTTCTTTAACTCTTGGTGCCTCCTGCTGACTTCTGTAGGGATCTCTCCCTTCTATTCCCATCAGGGCCCCATCATCCTATCCTGGCCAAGCAGATTAAGATGGATACAGTGAACATGCTGACATTGCCACTGCAGTTCATCGGCACTTACAGTGTGAGTGCAAAGTGTAGAATTCCCTGAGTGAGAGTCTGATGTGGTAACGCATTTAGTTCCCCAAGAGGAAATTTGGTATTCCCAACTCACTTCCAACTCCGTATTCAGAGAAATTTGGGGTGACTTCTGGAAAACTTCAGGTTTTGTTTTGTATTCAGACTGCCTTTCAGCAAAGTTGGGGGTGGGAGTGGGGCATGGGTCTGGGTAGTAGGTGAGATGCTGAGGAAGGGAGTCTCACCTGTTGGTAGAGGCTCAGTGATGACAAACCTGGCTAATTTGGAGAGGATTTTTGTCTTCTAAACCCATCAGAGAATTGCCTAATCTGCTGGCTCCTTGCAGAGTCCTAGGACATGGGACAGAATTGCCTAATGCTTTAGGTTTTATTGTGTGAAAACCTAGAAAGTATAACTTTTTGCTTTCAACTAATTAGTTTCAGGTCCTAAACCCCTTAAGATTGTTAAATCAAGTTGCTTCATGCACAGGGGACCAAGGTATGGCTTCTTCTCTCCCCTCTGACCCGGTGCTTTGGATCAAATTATAGGGGTTGGAATTGTCTGTACATTTGGAGTCAAATTACATGATAGAGCTGGTTCCCAAGGCCCGTGTTCCTTCCAAACACATATTTACTTTGGTGCATTGGCTTTTAACACATGAACCAATAGCAACTTATGAGACCTTCAAATTTTCCGTTAGTGACCACCATGTTCTGTGTCCCATGGGATTACTTTTCATTTTTGATACCTTCTGATCGCTTGGGTAAAGTTCATAAGTTTTAAAATGTGATGACAGTGAGTCATATTTTGGTTCAGAAGAATTATAAATGAAAAAAAAAACAAAAAACATTCCAATATTTCTCAAACAATTTCAGTACCTGCCAGTGCTCTTTTTTTTTTTTTTTTTTGAGAGGTTTTTGCTGTAGGGCGCGTGTGTTCGCCAGAAAGACTGAGAGACAGAAAGCAAGGAATCACTTCTTGAAAAGTTAAACAAATAACACTGGTTTTTCTTTCTACCTATCCCAAGACAGGAAAGCCACAACACAAATTTAAGAACATCTAGGTAGCCCTGATCATCTACCTTTGGAAAATAGAAGGGATATTGTACAACAAGAGCACTGGCAGTTGGGACAGCACTGGCAGGTGGGACCAGCAGTTGGCATAATGGCTATGTAGCTGGACTCCTATGTAGTCGACCGTGGTTCAAGTCCTGGACCTGGTGACTTGAAGATCATGCTGGGTGTGTGCATGCATGCCCAAAATCCCAAGAGGAGAATGGAGGAGAATGGAGTAAAAGGGATGGAGGCATGGCCATCTCCTCCTGCGGGGGATTTATCACCTTCCCTATCACTATCTCTCTCTCTCCAGCGAGTGCATATGCCTTATGGCAAAACTTAAAAAAAAAAAAAAAAAAGAAAAAAGAAAAAGAAAAAAGTCAAAGTGACCCTACAGACTTTAGGAACTGCTTACAACAATTATATTTTGTTTTCTTGTTTTTTTTTTTCTTCTACATTTTATAAGATTAGAAAATATAAAACAGCAGCTAAGTGTGTTAATTAGAATGTTAGTTCTACAGTCAAACACTCTTGGTGTCAAATCCTGACCCCCTCCAATACTTATTAGAAACACAATCCTTGGCAAGTTACTAAACCTCCTTGGACTTCACTATAAAATAGGCATGTTTCATGGGGTTGGTGAGATAGGATAATGTATGTAAAGCATTTTAGCAACTAAAGCTTAATATGTGGATAAATATGAGCTACTATTTTTCTTTTTAGGTTTTTGCCACATTATGTGTTCCCTCACTGGAGAGAGAGAGACAGAGAGAAAGCAAGAAATCACCCTCCAAGAGGATAGCCACACTGCAATTCTTCCCCTCCATTTTCCTCCTGGGACTTGGGCACATGTGCCTGACTTGATTTTCAAGTTGTTGAGTCCGGGACTTGAACCACAGTTGACCATGTGGGAGCCCATCACCTTAACCACCAAACTTGCAAGCCGCTAGTTACTATTATTTTAGCCTATCAAGAATTGAGGCTGCTACCTCTGGAGTCCTTTTTTTTTTTTTTTTTTGCCGTAGGGCATATGTGCTCCCTGAGAAAGACAGTGACAGGGAAAGTAAGAAATTGCCCCTCAGAATGGATGGCCACATTGCAGTTCCTTCTCAAACCTA